AGACTAAACAACCTCAATTCCTTCAAGAAGACCTACTGAGGCACAATCTAGAGGCCTTCTTCACTACTCTGTTTTTACCTTCTCTGACTACTTTCCAGCTTTTCAATGTCCTTCCTAAAACCCAGGAAGAAACACAATATCTCTGAGGCCCCAACTATTGAGTTGTTGAACCTCTCAGAGCCTCAGTTTGCCATTTACCAAAATGAGGGTGAGCCCTGTACTCGTGACTTGCCTCTCAGGTCTATTAGGAGGAAAACTCTTTGTAAATCACCGAAGTACTTTCTAGACACGGGGATCTCTGTTAGCAGCCCTTTCTCATTTAGTCAAACAACAAAGACTGTGAGTTTCTGGAGTGGGTTTGGTGTGGTGGGCGATACACAAATGAATAGTCCCAGAATCTCAGAGCACAAAGGAACCTCAGAGACCATTTAGTACAACTTGTACCTGGACAAGAATCCCCTCTGTGATAATAGCTAGAATTTATATAGTGCTTTGAGATTTGCAAAATGCTTTACATACATCATCTCATTTAATCCTCACAAGGTGAGGTAGGTGTTTTTATTACCCCCATTTTACAGAGGAGGAAACTGATACTTAAGTGAGATTAAGTGATTTGCCCAATGGTCACACAGAAAACAAGAGTCTGAGGTTGGATTCCAACTTGGGCATCTCTCACTCCTACATTCTGACCACTGGGCCACCTTGTTGACAAGGGGTCTACAACATCCTCACAAAGGGTCATCGACCTTCAGTTTGAAGACCCACTCATGAGAAGAAGTCACCAACTGCACCCCAGAGTAACCCATTCACTTGTGCCAAGCTCTGATCTTTAGGTAGTTTTTCCATTACCTTCAACCTAATTATTTCTCTCTCATTTCTGCACATTGTTTCTAGTTCTGCCCTTCTTGGGTCAGACAGAATAAGTCTCACTCTTCCTGTATGAGACAGTCCTTTCAAATAAGTGAAAGTCTCTCTCATACCATCCCCTCTACCCACAAGTAACATCATGTTCTTGGCTTCAAAGAACCCACAATTGCATATGACAGTTAAAACACATAGACAAATAATTTGGAGAAAGGGGGACTGAACTGGGTGTAGAATTAGGCTTACCAATACAAATCTGGGTATAAGAAGGGAAGAAACAGCCATTTATTAAGCTCCACCTTAGCATAGTACCAGGGATTAGTACAAATATGACCTCATTTGATCCTCATGACAATCCTGGGAGATTACTCCCATTTTACATTTGAAGAAACTGAGGTAACTATGTAAAGTGACTTGCCCAAGGTCATTCAGTCAGTATTTGTCAGAGATAGGACTCAAATTCAGGTCTTCCTGACTCTGACACCAGCTTTCCATCCACTCACTACACACTACAAGTAACTCCAAGTCCAATTTTATAAGTACCTTAGGCATGGTACAAAGACATGCTGTGAGATTTCAGAGAAACAGAAGATGATTTCTGGCTATTTATCAGGGAAGAATTCATAGTCACAACTTCCATGAGAAGCAGTGAACAGTGAGTACAAAGAGGGAAGGCTTTAGAGTCAGAAGGCCTGGATTCAAATCTTGCCTCTGTTACTATGTTTGTGAGATTGGGAAGGTTATGGAACTTGCCTGGGCCTCAGTTTCCTCATCTGTAAGTTAAGAAGGTTGGACTAGATGACCTCCAAGGTCTTGTCTAGACCCATTATCCTATTGTCTATTTATATCTGTGTGTATAGGTATATAGTCCCCTCCATTAAGCTATAAGCTACTTAAGGGCAGGGAATGTCTTCACCATCATATTTGGAACTTCAGCACAGTGCTTACGATATAGTAAGTGCTGAATGCTTTAATGAATTTCAATACATTGATTATCAATTAATGTATCATTAAAAATTAGTTTGATATCATACATAATATAGTATAGACTGATTATTATATTAATTAGTTGTTAACTAATTAATTGTTAATAAGTGCATTTCAGACTTGTAAGACCTTCTTTGTGAAGGCACTGAAATGGGAGAAAAAATACCAAGTTCCAGGGAACAGTCAATAGGTCAGTTTGGCTGAAATGGAGAGTGCATGAAACAAAGAGTAAGATGAAATTGTTCCATGAAGGTGGGCTGGAGCCAGACTCTGAAGGGCTTTATGTGCCAGGTTGAGAAGTTTGTGCTGGATCCTGGAAGAAATAGGGAGCTAATGAAGATTTTTGAGCTGAAAGGTAACCTAGTCAGACCAAAAGACATGGGAAAAACTGACAGCCTTCATCATACCTCTACCCCAGCTTGCTACACTAAAGACTTGGGGGATTTTCCCATTGGGTGAGATCCTGGACTCACTCTTTTGGTTGAGCTGAGTTATCTCACTCCCAATGGAGAGCTCCTTCACTCTGTATTATCTGATATTTATTTTCCTTTAACTTCTCTGATTTCTGTCTTATTATCAATTAGGATAAATAAGTTTTCTTTGTGTAGTTCAAAGGGAGGCAGAGTAGATATTTCTAGACTCTTTCTCCCTCCTCCCTTCAACTTCTCCAACAGAGAATTTCATTACCACCAGGAAGAGAACAGGAGGTTGGGACCAAAGGCCACACTGCTCTCCTCAGAGAGAAGGGGTACTAGGCTAGAATTGTATCTATCTGCTTCCTTAAATATTATTTTTCTAGGGAGTATGATTGGATTCAATCTAACTTCACTTTGCCATTTGGGGGAATGGATGACCCCAAGCTCTATATCTAAGACTTCTCCTCTTTCCCACAAGTTTCACAATGAACACACAATGAATAACAAGGAAATCTATTAATCCAATCTGGAAGCAAAATGGAAATCAGGGAAGGTACATATGAGAGAACATACCCAATTGGGAGCCAAATCATTCGGTTCAGCTGAGAGTCCTAGATCTCACCCAAACGGAAGAATAGCAAGTTGTTATAGGGACATGATGGAGACTTCCAGCTCCTCCCATGTCTTCCTACAGTCTTTTCCTTCAGTAGTCTGGAGTAAGTTTGTCTTTTCCCTCTTACTTCTCAAATCTGGAAGTCAGGAATGCCGGAAGGGACTAGAGTAGATACTTGGAGAGTCCCAAAGTGGACTGAAGAAGACTGGCGCTCTCCCACTCTCACCAACTCTGCCCAGCAAATGTCCCACACAATTTATCTCCACCAATAAGGAGAGAGTCTCATACAAATGGGCTTTGAGACAGAGGTTACACAAGATTTTAGGAGGGAAGAAGAAAGAGAGGAAATTCTCAACCTGCCAGGGAAGATGGCTAACTACATACTGCCTTTGGGGTGAACTCCATTTGAATTTAAGCCCTGGAGTCTTAATTAAAGCTCTTCATTGGAACCACCTGGATTTCTGCCCCCAATTAAGCCTGAGCTCAGGGTAACCATTCTCAGGAAAAGATGTCGTGTTCATGCATGATTTGCAGAGAGGGCTAGAGGCAAGTGGGAACTATTTAATGAGATGGATGCCTTTAGCTAGCTGGCTGGTGAGGAAAAACTGCCCTAACTCAAAGAACTCCCCAGCCACTCAGGGTTAAGCTGAGCCAATTAAAGGAATGGGCCCTTCCTGTGCTCAGTATTCCCTGGCTGAGGGGCGTTGGCCAGCTGACTCCTCATTTGCTTTCAAATGGATAGGTCCAGGCCAGCATACATAGAACACAGGTGCCAGGAGAGCCCTGAGATGATTCATCTTCCTGAGTGGCCCAGTGGGCTCCCTTCAGGAGTCCCTCCCTTCAGGTGTCTCTGTTCTGCAACCTTGCAGGGGAATTGCTGAATGGTAATGGTATAGTGTGTTGTAATAGGGAGGGAGGTAAAGTGTGCCTTCCCTGGGGACAATAGAGACAGAGAGGATAGAGACATCATGCTGGAAATCTGGGCTCTACCCCTCCCACCTGCATGTCATTAGGAGAGGATCCTGACTGAGATTATCAGCTCTACAACTTCTCCTGTTCACAATGAGGGTCCAGCCCAGAGGATAACCAGACTCCTGGAGAGGGTGTAGTGTTTCTGTGCCAAGGGGGGGCTCATTTCTGCCATGGGTTCTGTAAGGGCTCTGGGCACCGATGTAGGAAGTACAAGGACTAGGTTGTTGTTGTTGTTTGCCCTTCCGTCACAAAGGGGACCATGACATCAGAGAGGTGACACCATGACATGCAAGTGAATTGGATTTAAGCAAGGCAGGGCTGTGCAGAGTCACCAGCCTCACTTTCTCCTCCAGAGCCATCTAAGTCCAGGGGCAAGATACAGATCAGGATGACTGGAGATGGTCCTAGATATGAGAGCTAAGTACGGAGAAGAGGAAGGGCAATGCCTTTGGCCATTAGGGGATCATCTTCCTTCCCTCTCTCTTTCATCCTCAAAGTATATATCAGGGACCTAAAAAGAGTTACAGTAGATAGTTACAAAAAATACACATGTGCATATATGAGGTAAATATATATTATGTATATATATGTGTGTGTGTGTGTGTGTGTATGTATATATATATATACATACATACATACATACACACACATACCTTTATGGGAGAAGGGAGAGTGACTGTGATTTCATTGATGAAGGGAATTTCTGGTATGAAAATTCCCTCTACCAACATAGCTCTTCAGTCTGAGCTCCCAACACTGATGAAATCACAGAGAAGTATGATTGGAGATTCTGGTGAAGAACTCCCTCCTCCCACACAGCTCAGCACTTTATCATCTTAGAGCGTCACTTAGAGCACTGGGAAGTGATTTACCCAGAATCACACTGCCAGTAAGTGTCAGAGAAAAGACTCAAACTGAGGTGTTTCCATCTAGCTTTCCCATTTACGTTGCTGCTCAAAGACTTCTCACGTTACAACTTCCAGCTCCCTAAGGGAAGAGTATACCTGCCTCCTGCAGTGCCCACCAGAGATTACATGTCAGGAACAGCAGCCATCATCTGGCCTGGCCTCCTCTACAAAATACCTGGCTTAAGGGTCTGTCACTGCGGACTCCCAAAGTGATCCCTCTTGGGCTTTTGTTTCTTTCAGGGCAGAGCCGGCCCTAACACGAATCAAAGAGGATCGAAGGAGAATAATCTTGCCCGCCATTGACAACATCAAGTACAATACCTTTGAGGTACAGCAATATGCCAACGCTGCCCATGGCTACAACTGGGGCCTTTGGTGCATGTATATCATCCCACCACAAGACTGGCTGGACCGAGGGGATGAGTCTGCGCCTATCCGGTGAGTCCAGGCAGGGCAGTCGATAGCCTTCTCAGGGGTCATAGAATATTTTTTGGGAGGCAAGCAAAGTTAAGTGATTTGACACATAGCTAGTAAGTGTCTGAGTACAGATTTAAATTCAGGTCTTCATGACTTCAGGCCCAGTGCTCTATCCGCTGCTCCACTCAGCTGCCTGAAATGTTGGCTTTGCAATAAAAACTACGTGAAAACTCATTCATGGCAAGGAAGCAAACTGATCACCCCTCCAAAGACTCATTGGCAGCAGGGAGGGGTAGTTTGGACAAAGTTTTCTTTTTGCATTCAAAATGGACTTTATGATTCCTGATCAGTAAAGAAATAAATATACAGGCTTTGACATTTGAAAAGCCTATAATAAGCAAAGTAAAATGAGAAAGGATATCCATCATTCAGTTGTGTTGGACTCTTAGCCATCCCATTTGGGGTTTTCTTGACAGAGATACTGGAGTGGTTTACCATTTCCTTTTCCAGATGATTTTATAGATGAGGAAACTGAGGCAAACAGAGTTAAGTGACTCCCCCAGGATCACACAGCTAGTAAGTGTCTGAGGCCATATTTGAACTCAGGAAAATGAGTCTTCCTGACTTTAGGCCGGCGCTTGATCCACTGTACCACCTAGCAGACTTAAGCAAAAGCCTGGTGATTGTCAGCAAGGATGGGAAGCCATTGCCTTCCACAGATTCCTGAGATCCATTCCACAGGTCCCTGAGATCCCTTCCACAGATTCCTGAGATCCCTTCCACAGGTCTGGTTTGAGTAAGTATAGCAATCCAAAGGTCTTGTTGAGGACAAACTGAAACTTGCCAGGAGAGGAGAAGGAATTCAACCAACATTTACTAAGTCCCTCTAGTGATTAGTCTGGTATTATAGGGAGCACAAAGACAAAAATGAAACAGCTCTTGTCCTCGTGGAGCTTATAATCAGTCTGGGGAAAACAACACATACCCAGATGAGTAAATTCATGTTATACATGAAGTCATATGGGTGGGTGGGGTGGAAAGTGGCACCAGACCTAAGCCTTAAAGGAAGCTATAGATTCTGTGAGGCAGGGAGGCAGGTGGGGAGAGGACACGGAGCATTCCAGTCATGGAGGTGGGAGATGAGCCGTCATGTCAAGGGAATAGCATGGAGAGTGCAGAAAAGGATATCATGGACAAAAAGGCTAGAAAGGTAGGATGGAGTCAGGTGGTGAAGGGCTTAAAATGTGCAATAGTTTGGTCCTACGGACAATAGGAAGCCACTGGATTACTCAAGAGAGTGACATGATCAGGTCTGTGCTTTAGTAATATCATTCTGGTAGCTGTTGTGGAGGATGGATTGGAGAGGAGAAGGACTTTTTATTAAATAGTATTTTATTTTTTCCCTAGTTACATGTAAAGACAATTTTTAACATTCATTTAAAAAAAATTTTGAGTTCTAAATTTTCTCTGTCCCGCCTCCTTGATACAGTAAGCAATTCGATATAGGTTTTTTATGTTCAATCATACAAAACTATTCTTGCATACTTCAAGCCCTTCACAACCTGATTCCATATTATTCATGTTATAAAAGAAGACACAGACCCAAAGGAAAAAAACACAGAAAGTGAAAAAAAAATGAGCTGTGATCTGCATTCAGACTCCATCAGTTCTTTCTCTTGAAATAGATAGCATTTTTCTTCATGAGTCCTTTGGAATTGTCTTGGACCATGGCATTGCTGAGAAAAGCTAAGTCATTCACAGTTGATCATCATACAGTATTACTGTTACTGAGTACAATGTTTTCCTGGTTCTGTTCACTTCACTTTGCATCAGTTCATATGTCTTTCCAGATTTTTCTGAAATTTGCCCGCTCATCATTTCTCATAGCACAGTAATATTCCATTACAATCCTATACCACAACTTGTTCAGCCACGAGGGGAGAGATTTGAATCACAGAGACAAAATTCCAGGTGAGGGATGACAAAGGTTTGAATTAAGTCGGTCACCCCAGGAATAGTAAGAATGGGACAGATGCAAGGTACGTTGTGGAGGCAGAATTGACAAGACTTGGTAATTGATTGAAAATATAAGGGGAAAGGACAGTGAGGAGCCAAGGATGACACAAAAGTTGTGAACCTAAGTGACTAGAAGGACGATGGTGCCCTCAACAGATCCAGGGAAATTAGCTAGAGACATGGATTTGAGCGACGGAGATAGTGAGTTCTATTTTTGGACATGTTGAGTTTGAGATTTCTATAGGATCTCCCAGTGGAAATGTACAATATGCAGTTATCAGTGTAGTCCTGGAGCTCAGCAGAGATATGAGGGCTGGATGGATAGACCTGGGAATCATCTGCGTAGAGATAATAGTTGAACCCTTGAAAACCAATAATATCACCAAGAGAGCACATAGAGAAGTGAAGAAGGTCAAAGCCAACTCAGAGGATATGACATGAAACAAGGGGTGGGACACTGAACAGCAAAAGAAACTGAGAAGTAGTCAGATGGGTAGAAGTAGAATCAAGACATTTTCTAGCTGTGTAACCCTGGGAAAATCACTTAATCCAGTTTGCCTCAGTTTCCTCACCTGTAAAATGAGCTGGAGAAGAAAATGGCAAACTGCTTCACAACATCTTGAAAACACCAAATGGGGCATGAAAGAGCCGGACGTGACTGAAACAACTGAACAACAAAAGAGCCAAAAAATAAAATGTCACAAAAGCCCAGGAAGGATATTCAGAAGGGAATTGGGTGAGGGAAGGTGTGAACAATGTCAAATGCTTGAGAGCAGTCAGAAAAAAAAAAGATGGACTGAGAAAAAGACCATTGGATTTAGCAATTAAGCTCTCATTGATAACCTTGAGAGAGCAGTTTCAATTGAACGATGAGATCAGAAGCTAGATTATAAAGAGCTGAGAAGCAGAGAGAAGGGGAAGGAATGAGTGTAGACAGCTTTTTCTAGCAGCTTAGCTGTGAAAGCAAAGAGGGATGTAGGATGATCCTTAAGAGAGAAGGTAGTCAGTGAAGATCTTTCTAGGGAAGAAAGGAAAGAAACAAGTATTTATTAAGCTCTTACTATGTGCCAGGTACTGTGCTAAGCACTAGGGATACAAATAAAAGAAAAAAAAACTGGTCCCTATCCTCAAGGAGCTTACATTCTAAAGAGAGAAAACAACATACAAGAAAGCCGAAAAGCTGGGGGCTGGGGACTCAGGTGTTGCAGGGGTGGGGGTGTGGTGGGGGATAGAAACATTCCATCTGAGAATTATGTGAAGGAACTAGGGAAATTTAGCATGGAGATGAGAAGGCTGGGGACAGAGGGGGAGGCTCGGTTATGTTGTTAGCAGAAAAAGAAACAGTAGGTAAGGACAGATTGAAGATAGGGGGAGATAATTTGGAATTGACCTCCAGATTTTGTCTCTGAGTTCAGAGGGACACTTGGGGCTATTGCCACCACTTCATATGTAAGTAATAATAGCTACCATATATAAAATGCTTGAAGAGTTATAAAACACTTTATATACGTTATCTCATTTAATCCTTACAGCAATCTTGTGAAAGAAGTGCTGTTATCATCCCCGTTTTACAGATGAATACACTGAGACTAGGAAAGGTTAAGTGACATTCCCAGAGAGATTCACACAGTTGAGAAGTGTCTAAAGTACAATTTGGACTGTCTCATCCCACCTTTGCTCAGACTCAAGCCCACTACCTCCAGAGGTAGCACGTTCTACTTTGGAAAAGTCATTAGGAGTCATTTCGGGACATCAGGTAGTAGATAGCACAATGAATAGAGGGTTGGGCTTGGAGTCAGGAAGACCTGATTTCAAATCCAACATCAGGCGCTTCCTAACTATGTGACCCTGAACAAGTTGCTTAACCTCCTTCAGTTTCCTCATCTGTAAAATGGGGATAATCATAGCACCTACATCCCTGGATTGTCCTAAGGATAAAATGTGATAATATTTATAAAGTGTTTTGTAAACCTTAAGGCATTATATAAGTCCTACATAATACTTGTGTATCATCTTATATATAATAAATATATTCTTACAATCATTGCATATTAATTATTTTAAGAATTTTCATTTTTCTTTTCCTAATCATTATAAATATAATGATTTATAATTAATATAAATTATTATATATAAGCCATTTATAATATGCAATATATCATTATGTATTATATGGTAATATTATATATTAATTATTATATTAATATATAAGTTATTTATAAGTAATAAATAAAACAATATTAATATAAAATGAATAAAATGCCTGGTTATTATAAATAGTAATACATTATTTTAAGTGAATTATATTGTAAGTGCCAGGTTATTATTTTTTAATCTTATTATTACATTAAACTTAGCATTTACCTCTTTCAGTTGCCATCTATTGTCCTCAGATCTATTTTCTGGGGCCAAACAGAGCCATCTGATCTCTCTCATAGGTGACAACCTTTCAAACACCTGGATTTAGCAATTCAATCTCTTTCCTGCCCCTCCTCCACCCTACCCAATCCCTCTCTACTTCAGGCTAACCAGCCTGAGTTCCTCTTCACATAGTTCTTTTATGCAGTGACCTCCAAGCCCTTCACCATCCCCATTGTCCTCCTCTGTATTCTCTTTAGCCTGTCAATGTTCTTCCCAAAGAGTGAAATTCAAAACTGGATACAAAAGTCCAGGTATGGTCTGACAATGGCAGAGGAGAGCAAAAAAATATATCTCTAGTCCTAGGCATTCTGCCTCTTAATGCAACCCAAGGTGACAAGGTTTTCGTTTGTTTGCTCATTTTTTTTTTTTGCCCGCACTAAAGTCCCGTTGACTCAGGGTTGTACTTGAAATACATTAAAACTCAGGGATCTTTTTCAGACAAATTATCATCTAACCATGTCTCCCCTGCCTAGTACTGAGGAAGTTGACTTTTTTAACCCAAATATAAAACCTTACATTTTTCCCTATTAAAAGTCATCTTATTAGATTCAGTTCAGTGTTCTGGTGTGTCAAAATCTTTTGGT